TAAAATAAATTATGTGGCTTTGGCTTGGCCGTTACTACAAGAACTAAGTATTGTATAACAATAGAATACGCATGTGACGACAGCAGAACGGCCATGCTACATTTATTTTCAATGACGTATTTAAAGGTGACTTTCGCCTAATAATATAATGATTAATTAAAATGTGTATAGATATTTATATTCATATTGTTTTGTATACAACACCTGTTAATACAGATGTGCATAATATAAAAATTGTTTTGTATACAACACCTGTTAATACGACAGATGTGCTTAATATAAAAATTAAGACCCTTTCAGAAAATTCATCAGAATTAAGATCGACGTCAAGCCATCATCACTATATTCTCACTGCAGGTATAATTACTACAAAAATATTTTAAACATTAATAACGCAATTTTTCACAATTTGCAACATTTTTAGATATTCCAATAAAAAAATGTACTTACTTTTACAAGATCCATCATCCACTTTTTTTAATAATATTGAAAATTCATTTTCAGAAAAGAAAATCAAAATGAAGAGATTCTTGACTATTATGGTGGCTGTGGCGGTCATGGTATTGGTGAAATGTGAAGATTATGGTGTATTGTATAGGACTCAAGGATGTAATAACAATTGTGACGAGTATGGTCGAAAATTATGATGACTATGGCTGAGTTGCACCACCTAACTTTGACCGTAACTTTAACGATAACTGGTATTTTTTGTGAGGTTGAACCCAGACTATGATGTACCTACGTTAGTATAATATCTTTCAAGTAATTTTCAAGATGATCTGGTGAAGGTCACGGGACGTATATTATACCTGGATGCGGGACTGGTAATTATGGAAATCCGTGGGGGAGGCCTGTGTCTGTCGTCGGTCAATGGACGTCATTTGGCTGAAACGAACAATTTTTAGATTCAAGAGAACTAAAGTTTTGGGGTATTCCCATCGCCCAGCAGGCTTTCCTGAAATATTGTTAAACCATTGATTTGGCAAGTATCATTCATCAGTCCTTCACTATATTAGGTATGTATTGTAGTGTACAGTTCCCAGCTACCCATTTTTTCTTTTTTTTTCTTTCCCTCTCCTCATCACCATTTCAGCCACAGGACGTCCACTGCTGAACATAGGCCTCCCCCAAGGATTTCTATAACGACTTCCACATCGCACGGTTGGTAGTGGCCTGCATCAGGCAGGCATCCTTTCCCTCTCATCAGATGGTAATTCGAGACTACATGACCGAAAATGGGTAGCTGTAACTGTGGCCCGCTGTTCCATTGCTGTAATAGGGATGAGCTTGTGCAATATCTGCTAAACATACTTTTTTGAACTGTTTGATTTTTCCTAAGATTTTGTATAGTGCAACAACACTACTTTTACAGTGGAAAATTAATTAAGTAACTTTCCTGAACAAGCCTTTTTTGTAGAAATGTGTCTTTTAATATTAGTTATTGGTGTCAAAAAATCGATTGAATTTCATACTTACGAACTCTTAATTTTTCTTTTGCATGGTGGTTTAGTGATGTGTAATAAAACAATTGTACAACTTGAAACTATTTTATATCAACATCGAATTTGTAAGTGGGTCGTCCACGGGCTACATGTATTTACAGCATTGAGCTTCAACTTAAATTAAACTATGATATTAAATAATATACAAGACTATTTACAATTTTATTTCATCCGACAATAAAGAAGTTATGAAATATTTTTTGGTTTCGCTTAGAAAGACAATTTTTAATGAGATACTTGTAAAGTCTGACAAAATAACTTAAATAAAATAAAAACTTAAAAATATTTTTTAGTATATTTTTATAAGGTGATAGGATAGGTAGAGTTAGTTAGTACACAATAAAATATGAATTAACTTAATCAATATACAAAGTAACGCTGTGATAATAATGACAAGTAAGTAATTACCTGTCTAATAATATTTTTTTCTGTAAAAACTCTGAAAATTTAAGGTCGAGGTATTGAGAATAAGCGTGAAAATTATATTGTCGTTACATACTGGCTGCTTAGAATTGGCATTTGGTCGGCATAAAAAGAAATGGTTTTTAAGCCTGGCTGAGCGCTGAAGGCATTCTCATATAATGAGGACTGTCCATTGCACCAGTTAGGGCGCCGAATACTCTCGTCAAAATTACAAATATGAAAATTGTAATTCCGAAATCACTTCGCTCTGACGTTTATTTTTGTAGTTACTTTGCCCCGTGAAACGGACTTTGTCTAGGCCTTGTGTAACTTGCTAAACGGGACTATTCCCACCTCTCGTTCCCACCACTGCAACTCCTGTGTAGCCAGGATCTACAGCTTGACCGTCATGAAAACCCAACCAATGAAGGTGAAGTTTGTCCCGGGCGAAAGTTAAACTGTCATTGGACCCGCAACGAAATTAATCAGAAAAACATAGGAGGAGTTCGAAATTAAGGTTCGACTTCCCTCCATTGCAAAGCGGATGACAGGTGACAAACAAAGGTTTAAACCTTAACATCTTAACATTCGCCAGTGATGCCAACTGTTTGAACGTAAATACAATAGCGTCAGTAAAACTGCGCTTAACTCAGTCTATGCCTGGGATTTTTTTTTTTTTATTTGTGGCAACCAAACCTCTCTGGGAGGTTTATTTCTGCCAATGTCGAGTGAAAAATATTGACATAGTTATCAATAGAACGTGGGTGTTTCAGTTCTATTGATTTTTCATGGATTCCGTGGAGTTAAGTATGCCCGTAAGCAGGTTTCGAGACGCCACCGGGTCCAAAGCGGGTTGTTCATACGACAACCCACTCGACACTCGTTGCGCGCTCAAATTCGAAGTATTTCAATGTTTTTTATAATTTATCACTTCACTGCACTTTAGAACACAAAATAACACCAAATTTGTACACTAAAGTCCATTAAATAATAAATTGAAACCATTAAAACAGATCGACCATGCTTCCCGTTCAACTACCCTCCATGGAATCTATGCCTGGGATATGGAAGCGGCACGGCAGAGGTGACATTGACATATTGTGACGTGACAAGTCATATAATTCTGAAGGAGATCTGGAAGTCTCGCTGACGTCTGACGTTACAAAAACTCCCTCCCGAGCCGCTCCATTCATCAAGTACTGACTGAGTTATGAGACCTGTGGGTCTAGACAAAGTGCAAATTATAATCGCCAACCAGTCGAAAAGTGGTCGAAAAGCCCCTTTTTTGTATGGAGTTTTGACGGATTCGATTTTCGATTCGATCAAAAAGTGCGTTTTGTCTAGGGGGGCTGTAGGTATAAACGCTGCGATCTTTTCACAAGTGTCATGCCCTCTGTGTGTCAGAGTCATAGAGACAAGTATTTGAATTTACAATTTAAAATTTTGTGAAAAAGGTAGAATATTTATAATAATAACTAAGAATTATTCGTTGTTATACAAAAACTATCTCGTAACCACCATACCCAAATGCTCGAGTACTAACTATAAAATATGTTATTTTGGCACAGATCCAAGCACTTAAGTAAAAATAAAGTACATTAACACTAAACTACTCGTTGATATTTACAACACTCTTTGTACATTTCTTACCTTAAGACTAACTTTTTACATAATTGCGAGAATATTAATTAGAAATTTTGTCGTTAATTTAGTTATCTAATGAAATTGCAACACCTTTTTGAGGGTTGATTTCACAACATTGCCTTTTACATGTTCATTAAATAAATATAAAACAGTTACAGAAAATTAGTCACATAGTAATACTATCTAATTTGAAAGGAAATTACAATATTTAATTGCGATAATTATGTCAATGCGGCCTACCGTTTTTGTGCTCAACAGTTGGCACCTCTGGTGAATGACAGGTCTATACAGTGGCGCCATCCTATGAATGCAAAATGCGATAGAAGGTACTGCTTTGGTGCCACTGTCTTAGCCAGTACCTAACGAGTGACAAGAGTCATTCTACATTGGCGCCAACACTTGAGTGCTAACAGTTCATTAGAACAGATAGTAGATACNCTTAATGAGGACTGTCTATTGAACCACTTTTGACGCCGCCTATCCCTCTTGTCAAAATTACAAATTTGAAAATTGTACCTAATTCCGAAATCGCTTCGCTTTGGCGTTTATTTTTGTATTTACTTTGCCCCGTGAAGCGGACTTTGTCTAGGCCTTGTGTAACTTGCTAAACGGGACTATTCCCACCTCTCGTTCCCACCACTGCAACTCCTGTGTAGCCAGGATCTACAGCTTGACCGCCATGAAAACCCAACCAATGAAGGTCAAGTTTGTCCCGGGCGAAAGTTAAACTGTCATTGGACCCGCAACGAAATTAATCAGAAAAACATAGGAGGAGTTCGAAATTAAGGTTCGACTTCCCTCCATTGCAAAGCGGATGACAGGTGACAAACAAAGGTTTAAAACCTTAACATTTTAACATTAGCCAGTGATGCCAACTGTTGAACGTAAATACAATAGCGTCAGTAAAACTGCGCTTAACTCAGTCTATGCCTGGGGTATGGAAGCGGCAAGGGATGGGTGACATTGACATATTGTGACGTGACAAGTCATATAATTCTGAAGGAGATCTGAAGTATCGCTGACGTCGGACGTTACAAAAACTCCCTCCCGAGCCGCTCCATTCATCAAGTACTGACTGAGTTAAGAGACCAGTGGGTCTAGACAAAGTGCAAATTATAATCGCAAACCAGTCGAAAAGTGGTCGAAAAGCCCCTTTTTTGTATGGAGTTTTGACGGATTCGATTTTCAATTCGATCAAAAAGTGCGTTTTGTCTAGGGGGGCTGTAGGTATAAACGCTGCGATCTTTTCACAAGTGTCATGCCCTCTGTGTGTCAGAGTCATAGAGACAAGTATTTGAATTTACAATTTAAAATTTTGTGAAAAAGGTAGAATATTTATAATAATAACTAAGAATTATTCGTTGTTATACAAAAACTATCTCGTAAACCACCATACCCAAATGCTCGAGTACCTACTAACTATAAAATATGTTATTTTGGCACAGATCCAAGCACTTAAGTAAAAATAAAGTACATTAACACTAAACTACTCGTTGATATTTACAACACTTTTTGTACATTTCTTACCTTAAGACTAACTTTTTACATAATTGCGAGAATATTAATTAGAAATTTTGTCGTTAATTTAGTTAATAATGATATTGCAACACCTTTATGATGGCTGATTAAACAATACTGCCATTTTAGATGTTCATTAAATAAGTTACATAAAACAGTTACAGAAAATTAGTCACATGGTTGTAAATCAAAGTATTTTACTATCTAATTTCAAAGGAAATTACAATATTTACTTGCGATAGTTCAATGCGACCTACCGTTTTTGTGCTCAACAGTTGGCACCACTGGTGAATGACAGGTCTAGACAGTGGCGCCATCCTGTGAATGAATACGATACGATAGTAGGTACTGCTTTGGCGCCACTGTCTTACGCCCGTTTTCACAAACATTACTATGAGGTCTCACAGCACAGTTCGTGATTACGGGCGTTAGCCAGTACTTAACGAGTGACAAGACTTATTCTTGTACATTGGCGCTAACTCTTGAGTGCTAACAGTTCATTGGAACAGAAAGTAGATACTTTAAAGATGCCAAAGAGTGTCCGGTAGATTTCGGAATATGATTTTAAGTTTTGGATGTAATTTTAATATTTCTGACACAATAAAATCATTATCCAAAATTTTACGGCGCTTTCCTTATCCATACATATCACAATCGATTCATAATTTCACTTAGACAATTTCACTAAAAGCACTAGTAATGTTAAAAAAATGTTTAATAAAATCTAGACCGAAACTGTCACTGGCAAAATTGTTCACTAATGTTTTTCGCCAACACATGTTAGTGATGAACCTTTTATGCTTGATTCGAAGAATATCTTTCAAAAAAGATAATTTTTATCATCACCTTGTGTTCTGCCAACACCTCAACACTAACTGTCACTGTCACTTCAATTTGACAGACCGCACGGGCTGTCATTTTCCTTATCAACCCTAGGATCCTGGGACCCTGGGCGCTGCCACAATCACGTGTGGGAATGTCCCAGACTCCCATGAGAATGGTGGTGGTTCGCTGCGAGGTGGTGGAAGTATGGCGCGTAGGGTCCCGGGCCTGTGAAGGGGTAGGGAACCCCGTGGGAGTATAGCAGCCCTCCAGGGTAGGGGCCGGATGGGAACCCCCCAGCTGAGGGGGGCGGCACGGTTGGGCTGTTGACGTCCATCCCAGGGTTCTGCTTTTTCCACTTCGTTCTGCGGTTTTGGAACCAAATTTTGACCTAGGAACAAAATGTACGTTTTAAAGCTCTTTTTGGTTTGTTTCAGATAAGTATAGCAACAATTTGACTTTTGGTGTATAAATTGGTACGTGCAGACAACTGGAAAAGTTATAGTTAAATGGTTCGTCGTTAAACTCAAAATCCTAATTGTAACAAAGACGTGTTGCGAACATGAGTACTTTGGGTGTCACGAGCTATCTGACGCTGACTGTACCAGTTGTCTGAACGTGCAACAAAACAGGGTGTTCATTTCTGAAAATAATTATTTGTAAAATTAAAAAGAAGATCATAAATGACACAAGCAAGAACTTAATTTCCAAATAGGTAATCTAAGGCTGGGTTGCACCATCTCAATTTAACTTTGAAAAACGTCAGAAATCTGTCAAACTCCATACAAAAAAGTACCGGTTATCGTTGTAGTTACGGTCAAAGTTAGATGGTGCAACTCAGCCTAACTAAATTTAATTTACATTCTAAAAAATAAGACATTAGATCCGTACCTGTGTCTCTGTCAAACTCAAGCTCAGCGCCAGATTCAGCCTCTCGCACACCGACAAATACCTCGTGGTCTTGAACTTATTCTCTAAAGACACCAGCTGTTCGTACGTGAAGGCTGTCCTCGCCCTTCTGGGCTTGGTGCCTCCTTTAGAATCTCTGCTGGAAGACCCAGACTTTCCTTTCTTGGAGCTGGAGCTGGTGGGACTCTTTGGGTCCCCATTCTCGTCCAGATCGGATTGGGTAAGAATGTCGTCATCCATGTTGGAGGTTTGGTCGTCGGTCTCCACATCGTCTGCTTCCAGGTCCGAGTGTTGGAGGTGGTCTTTGACTGTAACAAAGATAGACAAAGGTCAGTTGAAGTTTGAAATAAATATTAGGTGGGAGAAGTACGTAAATATAATTTATAACAGATAAATCAAATCGACATTTTCATTTAAAACATCATCTTAGGCTGAGTTGCACCACCTAACTTTAACCGTGACTTCAACGATAACTGGTGTATTTTGTATGGAGTTTGACAGATTTTTGACGTTTGTTAAAATCAAAGTTAGATGGTGCAACCAAGCCTTATTCTTGATTTGACACTGGTAAACCAGTCAATTAATTTAATCTAAATTTCTTAGACTGGCTTTATATTGCCTTTTGTTTTTTTTATGAGGCAAACGAGGTTTCAAAAGTTACCGAAATGCCTTTGCAGACAACAGTGACGAATATAAATATCCAAGACAGCAAACTATAAATATCGCGATATTTTAAAACCCATAAACGGGTTACATAAATCACGCTATTTTATAGTTTCCTCATAACGCTATTTTCATAAAAAATTTCATGTTTTCCAAATGATATAATGGATGTGTCCGTTTCCTGTTCCCATCAGATTTGTTGCCAGTGCGAAATAGTTTTAAAACGGCCATTAATTTTTAATGTAGCAACATCGGTAGCGGAAACATTAAAGTATAATTTACGATTGTTTCGCGTTTAGTAAAATTAGTATTATTTGGACCGCTAATGGCGGGAGGATGTGTAAATATTAGCAAATTGGCTGGCAGTTTATGTCGTTAGTCCGCTCGTATAAAACACGATACAATTCAGTGGAAACGAGACGAATAATTGGGAAAAATGGCGCGTAAACAGATTATATAACTCGATAATGTATTAATGAGCCCTCAAATATTTGCAAATTTTCTATTATTCGATTACATGAAAGCTTTACAGACCATTTTGTATAAAAAAAGTGCAAAAACTCTAGTTCGTCGACTCTATAAGAAAATATGACGTAAAAAATGTAGAGTCATTTATTACTCTGAGAAAGTGGTTACTCTCAAACATTGTTATTCCAGACAATAAAATTAAAATTCTAGAACGGTTTCCACTGAACCTTTCATCTCCAAGTAACATATTACAATTTTATTACCTCTCAAGACAAATGAAAACATGCTATCGGAAACTCTTACTGAAAACGGTTAAACCTTTAGGTCGTATTTGCTTGAGCTGATATTTGAAGTTGTGTCTTAACGGTGAAGAATTTGAGTCTAATTGGGTGTGTAATGGTTTGAGTTTTATGCCTTATTGCCTAAAGTCGGGTGTCCACATCATGCAACACGAATTAGCCCGATAAAATTACGGGCAGATGGCGCTGCTGAGTGATATATGGAGGCCACAGTGAATATGACGAAGAATTAAGTATATCAAGTCGTAACGATCCCTGAAATGTGCACTTATTTACTACTTTTGTAACAAGAGCAGCGACAAAATTTTGTGACAACACCTTCTCTTTATAATATAATAAATACACAGTACATGCAGCCTCATAGCTAGCTGCTAAAACTGGCCACGAAAGTAATCATCTCAAATATTCATCACGTTCGTAAAAACTAATTTACTCATTAATTTAAGTTTGCGTTAGTTGTAAAAATATAATTTTATTGTAAAAAATATTTACTCATTGTTTCTCAGATATACAGGTAAAATTGATTCTCAAATCAAAATATAAAATTGAATACATACATAGGCCCTTTCCAGGGCGCTTATACTATTAGTAACAGGTGCTTTATTAATCGAAATTCATAACTTTTTTATCTATGTTTAAAAAATCTCTACTGTTTGCTAAACTGTGTAATGTAATGATACGTATGCATGGACGATAGCACATCAAGACAAGCTCTGTGCCATCCTATATTAGAAATAAGAGCGACTTTACAGCGAAAATGTAGAGTCTAAAGTGCTGTCAACTGTACAATCTTAAATTAATAATGTCCGAAGGTCAGTTCTCCATCGAAAGATATATAGAGATGGCATTTAATGGCGTGGAAAATCAGGAGAGGAAATGAGAGCGTTATTTATGATGAAAAGTGCTGTAGAGTCGTAAAATTATTATTATTATAAAGAGCTGTGGTTTTCTGAATAAAGAAAAAAAAAATCTGTTTCAGAATTTGATTTTAATTAAGATGACTTCGTATGAGATAAAACTGCCTGGATTGCGCCGTGAATGCTTCAAAGTAAACTAATAAGAACGTTAAATCCAGTTTAAATTAAGTATAGAAATTAGATACATAAGAAATAAGTTACTTTCCTCATTATCAAAATGATAATAATTCCAAAACGAATACCTACCTACAATTAAGTGTAAGTTAACGTCAAAGCAAGCTTTGTATTATTTTTACATTCTCTTTACATAAAGAATCGAAAATTTGACAAAGCGTCAAATCTATTTATTTATCATCTATTCTCACATCATTTTCACCAAGTAAAGACTATTTAAAAATAAAATATTTATTTTCACTTTAAAATTAAACATGGATTATTTTAACTTATTTTTTTTCTATTTTAGACAATTTTTTGCACACTTCTTATTCGGGCACTCTTGTCAGAGTGGTCGTGGTTGCGCTGACGAGGTACATGGTGGGGTGATGTCATCTCCGAGGGTAGCTCTCCTGGCGATGTGTTTCCATTTCTGACGGTTAGAGGCGTCGCGAGTACATTGGACCATGGTGGATTTTTGCACACACCTGAATGATAATGTTCATTACGGCTGCATTTAACTATACCCGATAGCTGAAAGTTTCAGCTGAAGCCAAATAAACAATGCGCGTACCGCGTGAGCCGTTAGTCCGTCGCTACGCGCGCCACGCGCTAATCGCCTTCGCGCTATATTTCACTCCGCGCGACAGCTGATCAACTATGCCGATTGTAACCTTAGCTCTGACGTAGTAATGAAGTTGATTAGTCGAAACTAATATACGTCGGGCCAATATGAAGGCAAACGATTGCTATTTATCGCCGTGCGATAATAATAATACATTAGACCTCTTATTAATAAAAAGTTACACCTAGGATGAACGATGATGATGATTAATTTCCATACTAAATGACAATTTAAGCCAGAGTTTAACTAGGGTGTAACTTTTATTAATAAGGGGGCTAGGGTATTATACAAGTAAATGATAGAGATTTTAGAAAATTTTCCCGGGGCTGTCTATGGAAGTTTTCCGGCGAATTGTCACACTTTTATCTTAATCCACGTTCCAAGTCACTGGATTGAATTTTCAAATATTTTTTCTTGGGTCATTGGGCCCACCGTCAACGTGCATGAAAGTTCTAAGTTCAGAACCAATAAAAGTACAGTCGGTCAGTCAAAGTTATTAATTTGAGCAAAAAGAGCGTGTTTCGGAAAAGAATCAAGACTACGCCCTCGAATAGAGTATCATTTTACTGAGTTGCACCACCTAATTTTGACCGTAACTTTGACGGTAACCGGTGGTTTTTTGTATGGAATTGACAGATTTTTGGTGTTGTTAACGTTAAAATAAGATGGTGCAACTCAGCCTAAGCAAAAAGAGCGTATTTAAAAAAAATCAAGACTACACCCTCGAATCATTTTACATCTCATCTAAGCCTTATGAAGCTCACTATATTTACCAAAGAAAATTTCAGGACTACGCCCTGAAATATACACTCGATCTCGATCCCTTCAGGATGGTGCCCTGAATAGCACCCTTACACGATGTACCGACCCCCAAATAACGCAGGGTAGGCAAACATCGGCGTGAACAAGCCAGCTAAGTTGCAGGGATTTACAGGTTTGCGGGGAGACCGGGGCTGGGAGGCTGTAGTGCGTTGTGCGGAACACGATGTTCATAAATATGTTATTGGAGCACTTTCAGGGGAAACAAAGCTTGACTACGGGAATAAGTAAATTTTGATACACTAAAAGCTCAGTCTACTATGCAGGCTTCAGGCTGGTACAAGATATTATGATCATACAATACATATTGTGCAAAGTATTTTTTAAATGACATTACTTTTCAATCTTCATAATGTAAAATTCTCGTGTCATTGTATTTGTAACCAAACTTCTCCGAAACAGCTTGACCGATTCTTAGGAAATATTATGTGTATATTCAGTAGGTCTGAGAATAAGACATAAACTATTTTTCATGTCCCTAGGTAGCACTGCTAGTAAATAAAGATTCATTTATATCTGGCAAAAACAGTTACCTAGTCTTCGTTTTCAAAGGACATAATAAATACCAAAAGAAAGCCTTGGTTCATGATTTAGAAGCTACTAAAGTAAGATGTTATAATAAAGGTTTGAGGAATCTGAGGGACAATAGGTCATCTGGATTTCTTCTCCATCATAGGAATCTTATCTTAAAGTAGCATGAAACGGAATGATTGATTTCCATATTCCCTCTCGATCGATCGAGACAACAGAACCAAATGAGTGCACTTAGTCAACCCTCCGGGCCCCAAATCCGCCGAGGAAAGCACTTGTAATCAAGCCTTTATTAATTACAAACTTCGACCGCAGCCACCCCACCCCGCCCTCCCCTTCAAGCAATTACCATCTTTAAGCTCTGTTTGCTAAAGTTAAAAATCCCAAAACGGATCGCTATTAACCCAAACTCAGCCTTATCTTTTGGGCGTAAGCTTCGGAAGCTTCAGGCTATTATGTACAAGCAATATTGAGCTTACTAGTTGGTAAGTTAAGGTGGTTTTTTGGTGGGGATCTGTTGATGGCAAACAAGAACCATCAATTTGTTAAATGAAGAAAGTGGAGAGTAATTTTGTGCCGGATCGGTGGCGAGGCGTGTTCGCAAATGGAGTCTAGTAGTGTTTCAGTTGGGGAAGTCTTAAATGCGATATTATTCACGCATATAAGCACTTATTACTTGGTTAGTTCTTGGGTGAACTGAAATTGCGTCTACATGATACATTTTCGTGAAAGAGAAAAAATGCAAGCATTCGAGTACGGCAGTAGACACCATTCTGTCACAAAACAAGTGGTTATTGATTGTTTTCATTTCTTTTATTAATTTTGTAGTCGCT